CAAACACCTCCTGTCTGGAAAGGAGCTTCCACACAGAAAAGCCTCCAGCCTGATGGTTCTGGGAGCTGCAGGGACTCTTGCTCTGTGAACCAGAAAACAAACTTGCCTTCTGCAGTAAAGAGGTTTTAATGAGCTGTTCTCCATCTTTATACGGCGTTCTGTCCGAGGAGGTGGATTTACATGCCTGTTAAATGGCTTTCACCCGGCGCAGGACCGCCGTGCCCGTACTCCATTTACTTTGGAAACCCAGTGGCAGACTGGATCATAAAAAAAAAATGGTGTATAAACATGTATAAAATATTTGTGCCAAGAGCAGAAGCAAATAAAAAGGGTTGATGAGATGGATTGGGAGCCCAGGGGCACCTCTGGCGAGGGGAATGGGAGGGAAATCACACCCGGGCCGTTTGCGACGCGTCATCAAAATGCAAACATTTTCTCTTCCAATCTGACAGGGGCTCCTGCTGTTCCCCCGTGGGCTGGGGGCTTTGGCCACCCACTGGATACTGATCCGTGGCCTCCCCACTGTTTCCAGGGCTTCGAAAGGCGGCGTGAGGCTCTTTTTGTGGCAGGAGCAGGGAGGGTTGGCAGCAGCCCCTGGGCAGAGGGAGGGGGTGGCGTCCCCTCCCCATGGGATGCATCCGTGCCCTGGGATGGGCTGGAGGGGCTTTCCTCCCCCCCCCCCAGCTCTGCTGATTTGGAAATGGAAAGAGCTGGAGAGTCACTAGGAGGCAGGGAAAGAGCTTGGCTGCTGTCGGCTGGGGCTTCCTGGTGAGCCTGCACCACTGCCCCGTGTCCTTATGGAGAAAGGTGTGAAGGAAACCCCCCACCCCACAGTCTGGGGGTGCCCGGGGGCAGCTGTGGGCGAGGGGGTGAGGATGCTGGGCTTGGAGTGGGCAGAGAGCTCGGGGGGGGGACGGGGAAGAGGGATGGCTGGAGCTCCAAGCTGTGCTGGAAACCTCCCGCGGGATCTGGAGGGAGCTGACAACTGTTCTGGGGCTGCGGGGAGGGTTTGTTTTTTTTGCCAGATATAAATAATTAGAGCTTGACAGAGCGTGGGGGGGAGGGGGGGGGAAATGTTGACTTCTCACTGGAAAAGGGAAGTACAAAATATTTCCAAACAAAGTGGGTCATTTGTGGGGAAACCTCCTCCGCTGGGAAGAGCTCAGCTCCGGGGGCTGACGGCGCCTGGTCCTGCCCGGGGGGGGGGTGTGTCTCTGCTTGTTTTGGGGGACATCAGGGCTATTTGCTGTGTTTTAACTGTGGGATAACACTCCTGCTGAACCTTTCGGTGCGTCCGAGGGTGGGTGTAGCAATTGCAGGTTCAGGGCCAGAAGGGCTCCAGGACCCGGGCGGAACAAACAACGCAGGTTTTCAACTGGCTTTAGGATTGTCCCAGTAATCCCCAGCTCCATTATTAATGCAGTATTAAAAGGACTCCAGGCCTCTCAACAAATTCCTGTTTCAAATAAATAATTACTGGAGCCAAGATAATTTATTAAATTAAATTGAAAACCCCAGGTGCACTCTATGTTTGCCTTCCAGTAAATTTTTATTATTTTTTTTTACCTATCACGTCCAAAAATAGAGTGTTATCCTCGTGGCCAGACCCGGGTGGGATGCCGAGGGGGCAGCAGACCATCCTCACAGCCTGGGGACCACCGAGCTGGGGGGGGTCCTGGTGCTGTGTTTCGGGCAGGAGGGCAGGCGTTACGGACCTGAATTTATTCAAAAGTGAGCAAAAACGAGTCCTTACCGGTTTTGGCACCCCAGGTACCTTGGCAGGAAGATGGGGCTTTCACGGCATTGGGCACAGAAATAAGGACCCATGTGAGTCCCCCTGGAAAAGGGGAGGGTGCGAGGCTGCGGGGGGGTCCTCACCCTTTCCCCGCTCCCCCCATACCCCCGCACGACACTTCCAGCAGCAAAGGATTGCCCACTTTGGGGGGTTTTATCTGCACTTTGCCAAGAGGTGTGACAAATTTGTACTAAATCGGAACCTCAGAAGATGCCAGCGCAGGGAGGCAGGAAAAAAGCTCTTGCGTGATACAGGAAAAGGAGATAAAGCTCCTTCGTGCGGCGCGCGCTGACTTCAGAAGCAAGAATCAACAATATTTAAAAATGTATAAACACAGATGGCATATTTTCCCTTAAAAAATGTTTTGCGAAAAATAAAAGCCGCTTAAAAAGGAATGGAATATGAAAAGGAGGAGAAGTAGGTCAGAAAGGAGGAGTCAAAGGAAGGGGGGGGGAAACTAACAAAACCAAAGTCAAAGATTAAAGCGGATTTGGTGGCGCGTGGAGACCCCGTGGCAGGTCTCTGGGAGCATCTGCCAGGAGATGCTCAACCCCATCCTCGGCCTAATCCGGCTCCGAACCAGGGTGAGGGCCAGGGGGGAGCCGGTGGCACCGCGGCACGGGCCTTGGGCTGGCTACCGGGTGGGTACGGCCAGTAGCCCCTGCAGCACTTTGGGGTGAGGAGAGTTCAAGTTGAGCAACTCAGGTGGTGGAGGGAAAGGCAGGGCAAGCAAAACTCAGCAAATTTGAACTAAAACACGGAGAGTTTTAGTTTCTCTGCGTTTTAGTTTTCTATTTTTAGAAAATAGAAAATTTCTCAGTGTTTTAGTTTTCTTTAGTTTTCTGGGTGTTTTAGTTTTCTCGGGGGCAACCTGAGGGTTCTGCCACCTGCACCCAGATGAGATGCCGGTGTCGCTATGAGCAGGTCTGCCCTGTGAGAAAGGGCATTTTTACACCCAGCTGGCCCAAGACGTGATCTCAGGAGAGGCCAACATGTGAAACACACACGGTATGAGCGGAAAAGCAAGAGGTTTTGGTTCGGTGAGGGAAGGTGAGTAATGATCTTTTCCCCACGCGCTGTTTGGGTGGCAGCGTCTCGGCGCGTGAGGTCCCCTCTGAGAAACAGCTCCCAGAAGCAGCGTGGGGCTTTCCCTCCACCATGTCCTCAGCTCAAACTTACTCTGTTCACGAGGTGCAGGATCCTTTTTCCCAGCCACACCCACAAGCTGACTCCAGGATGTACCAGACACCTGCTCCTGGCTGATGACTCTTTAGTTAGAATTTCTCTGGCCGCTGTGGTGGTGTGAGGGGCTGCACCGCTGTGGGTGACACAGGAAAAGCCCCTTTGCATCCCCCCAGGATGGGTCACGTCCCACACGGCGCCTGCGGAGCCCCTCGTCACGTGTGTAGTCACGTATGTAACACGTGAAAGCCTTTCCCAAGGCAAACCTTTGCTGCCTCCAGGCCCCAGCAGCCGGGGGAGGAGCCGTGTCTCTCGCGTCGCCGACTCTCTCTGGTTCTGATGAGTTAATGCAGGACGGGTGACTTGCTTTCTGATGTGGCCGAGTTAAAACGCCGCAAGATGCGTTTATTTGGGAAGGAAATTGGCTCGTGCTGCCCCGGGCTGCGACGTGTTGTACCGGGGCTGCTCCTCCCCATCCATCCCAGCCTGAACCCGCAGCCGCCGGCTCCCTCCTAAAACACCGAACATGCAGCAAGGTTCAAGGAGCAGGTAAATACCCCCATTAAACCAACGTGGCTCCTCGTGCGCACCCAGGAAAGCCTGTACTGCATTTTGGGAGCTTTCAGCCTACTCATTCGTGCTGCCAGGGGAGCAAGGGAAGAGTCAGGCAGCAGAAATTGAATCGAAAAGGGGTAAAATGAGGGAAATTTTGGTTGTGTGGGGATTCCTCCCCTCGTGTTCGTGATTCACCTCTGCCTGGGCTCGCTGCCTTTGTGTGACTGAAGAAAACCTGTGTCTCTGGGGAAGTGACACTGGTTGGGGACAGTCCAGCCACCGCCACGGCTCCGGGCCAGCCCTTCAGACCCTTCCCCACCAGTATTTTCATTAGCAAAGAGCTTCATGATTGCAAACCTCAGCAGTACCTTCTCCTCGGAAGCTGCTCCGCTGGAGTAACGATGGTGCAGCAAACACCAGGGCCACGCAGGAACCGAACGCTTCAACTACCGATGTGGTTTTTACCAATAATCAGTAATAAGTTTAATTTTTTTGGTGTTACTGCTTGTGCCATTCGTTTCTGGGATAATGCTGTTGTCCCTGCTCTCTGTGTGCTCCCGATTTGCAGGTGGCTGTTAACTATCCAGAGCTATGTCACGGCTTCTGGTATTACACTGAATTTCACTGAATTTTAGAGTTGGAAGGGACCATAGAGATCATCTAGTCCAACTCCCCTGCTGAAGCAGGATTGCCCAGAGCTTGTCAGAGCATGTTACTCAGGAGCATCCAGGCGGGGCTTGAAAATCTCCAAGGAAGGGGACTCCACACCCTCCCTGGGCAGCCTGTCCCAGGGCTCTGCCACCCTCACCGTGAAGAAGTTTCTCCTCATATTTGAGTGGAACCTCTTCTGTTCCAACTTGTGCCCGTTGCCCCTCGTCCTCTCACTGGGAACCACTGAAAATAGTCTGGCTCCCTCCTCCTTCAACCCTCCCTTGAGATACTTGTAGGCATTGAGAAGGTCTTACAGGTATTACACTGGATGTTTTAAGAATGCTTTCATTATTACTCCAGTGTTCCGAAATGCACCGCTGAAGGGAGCAAGAAGAGTTCAGGACCCTCTCCCGACAAAATTCCCTTTTAAATGTCACTTTTCTGGCCCGCACACCTCAAAAGCAGCAAGTCCTGCGTTCTCCCCCAGCCCGACCCACCCTTCAGGTCAGGGAAGCAGCTTTTCACCTTTCTCACGCGTGCGTTGTGGGAAGGGGAAGCTCTACAGGCCCTTTCCCAGGGATTACTCCAGGCGGATGGAGCTGTGTGTCCATCCCTCCATCCCACCCCGAGGGACCCGCGGCAGGCCGGGGTCTGTGTACACCCACCCCCAGGCACACACACCACTGAACCACTTCCCCCGGGGTCTGTGCACACCCACCCCCAGGCACACACACCACTGAATCACTTCCCCGAGCATCTTCCTTCACAAAGCCCCGAGAGGCTGGTTCCCCAAGAGAAGGGCTGTAGGAAACCACCCTTTTTCAACAGAACTGTGTTTATTGTGTAGTGAAAGATGGCGTCTAAAACCAGAGGAAGAGGAGTATCAAACTGCGGGGTTTACCTAGAAGGTACGAAGGCGCTGCCGAGGCTCGAGTGTGTGGGTTCCTGGCTGGCACAGAACAGAAGCAGGAACTCGGGCTTCCTTCTGCGCTCTAACGGCTGTTAAGAAAGGAGGTAACTGAGGGCTGCAGCTTCTCGGGAGACTGGCAAACGGAAAAGAACCTGGAGACGCATCGGGTACGTGCCGTGGGCTGGCAGGGCACGGGGAGGAATCAGCTGGCAGTTTTATCGCTCTCCCCGTTCTCTATTAGTTTCCTTTTCTTTTCATCCGTTTTCCTCTTGAAGATGCTATCTCTGTAGAACTGAAGTTCTTTGATGCTTTCCCTGATGTCATCGAGTGCTCTGAAAGAGAATTAAAGGAGGGTTTCGAAGCGCCTGTGCACATCTCCAGCTGCATCTGGGCTCCAGCACTCCAGAGCCCACACTGGATGCCCACCCTGTGCACACAGGATACAGGGATTTACCAGAGCCCACTGGTCCCTTGGGAAGGGCTAGAAAACGTAGCTTTCTAGAAATACGTTTTAATGTTGCACAGAATCTTTTCTTCCAAAACCTCAATGCAACGGCGACTTTGAGGGACGCCTCAGCAGCTGGCAGGAGGGTAACACACAACTAATCCCTTCCAGAGAGGGGAGAACAAACTCTCTGACACACTGGGAACCCGGAAAATAGCCAGGAACAGAATCCTCATCCCCCCGTTTGCTGTCTCCCAATTTCAGTGTCTATGAACAGCTGCCCGGGACAAGGACAGGGGAAGCCACCGTGAAGCTGTTTTCACCCCATTTCTCACTCTGATGGCTGAGAAGTGCCAGAGGGATCGACGTCACCAAACTGGCATCTTGGCTTGAAGAGCACAGAGTGAATCAGAACAGAGGAGGGAAGGTCTGAGTCTGTTTTCCCAGTCCCTTTCCCTGCAGTAACTGGGCTCAGACGTACAACAGGGCACCGGGAATTCCAAGGGAGCTCCATGTTCTGCTCGTGAGGAGCATGGATCCCGGTGACAAGCCCTGCTCTCTTACAGACCAAAGCAGAAGCCTCACCTGTGAGAAGCCGCCTTCTTTGGTGCAAACTCGTATTCTTCTGGATACCAGCGTCTGCAAGAGGAAAAAAGCGCCATTTAAAAAAGGAAACTGGGATTCAAAAACCCGTGCGGTGGGTGCTGCTGGGGGCTGGTTACAACTGGGGAAAGAATTTGGGTTTCACTGGCGTCCGGAGAAGCCACAACCCCACGAAGTTGGGGTTCGGCTGAACAGGAGCCAGCAGTGTGCCCAGGTGGCCAAGAAAGCCACCAGCATCCTGGCCTCTCAGGAACAGCGTGGCGAGTAGGGCCCAAGAGGTGATGGTCCCCCTGTACTGGGCACTGGTGAGACCCCACCTCGAGTACTGTGTCCAGTTTTGGGCCCCCTACCATAAAAAAAGACATAGAGGTGCTGGAGCGGGTCCAGAGAAGGGCGACAAAGATGGTGAGGGGTCTGGAGCACAAGTCTTATGAGGAGAGGCTGAGGGAGCTGGGGGTTATTCAGCCTGGAGAAGAGGAGGCTGAGGGGAGACCTTATTGCTCTCTACAACTCCCTGAAAGGAGGGTGGAGAGAGGTGGGGGTCGGTCTCTTCTCCCAAGTCACAGGCGACAGGACGAGAGGAAATGGCCTCAAGTTGCGCCAGGGGAGGTTCAGGCTGGATATTAGGAAAAATTTTTTCACTGAAAGGGTTCTCAGGCATTGGAATGGGCTGCCCAGGGAGGTGTCTGAAGCCCCATCCCTGGAGGTGTTCAAAAGCCGGGTTGATGTAGTGCTGGGAGGTCTGGTTTAGTGATGATGCTCCTTGTTTGTTGTGTGGGTGTCTATTTTTGTCAGTTGGGTTGACGGTTGGACAAGACGATCTTTAAGGTCCCTTCCAACCTAGAAGATTCTGTGATTCTGAAGTCACCTCACGGCTCCTCCTGCACATCCCCAAATGGAGGGGATGAACAGTGGAAGAGCTGCAGGCAGCTCTCTCCCTGCAGCCCGAGCCTTGTTTCAGAGGAGCCCCTGTTGGTGCCACTTCCCAGGCGCCCCTGGATTGTCTGTCACACGACTGCTTAATTTGGGGAACATTTACCTGCAGAGCTCTTTGACGGTGCTCACATCAATGATCCTGTAATGAAGATGCCTCATGAACTGAGGCATGTATTTGTCAAGAAATTTCTTATCTGCGTGAACAGAGTTACCTACAAAGACACAAAACAAGACGTTTGTTCAAAGACACGACAAAAGGCGCCACGAGTGACATCTGAGCGAGCAGCCGGCGCGGGGAGCCGGGGAGAGATCACAGGCTCCGGAAAGCCGCTCGCAAGCAGCTCGTTTATCCCCTTTTCTAGTAAATACGATTGGAAAGGTTTGTCAGATTTTCATTGCAGGATCACAGGCGGTTTACAACCCTAATCCCACTATTAATTCTTCAGTGAGTGCTCCTGCAATTTGCGTCGCACAGATAAGTATCAACGTTATTAGGCAAGAATCGGGTTTTCCACCAAGGGAAAATGGGCGTCGCTATTAATTCCCCTCAGCACCAGCCCCAGGAGCCTTTGAGAACCTCCCGGACATGGTTCCAGGTACCAGGACGTTTGGACAACTCATATTTGGTGCTTCCTTCGATACACAGAGGAGAAGACGCCGTGGGGTCTGCAGCTCAGACGTCACGGTCGCAGGTTGCTGTCAGCACTGAGGTCCCCCACCCCAATTACAACCCGGACACAGAGATATTAACACCAAAGAGAATTGCCCTTTCCCGCAGTGACAACGCACAGTTTTTGCCGCAGGGAATCTGCCCACGGCGTGATGCTGTTCCTGACCCTCTCCTCACTAAACAGGTTTTGATTCACATGTCAGATCTCAGCACAGAGAACTAAAGCATCCCCACCTCGTGCAGCAGCGGGGCTCCGGCACCCAGCTGGGAGCAGGGGGAGGGATGGCATCGTTAGTGTTATTAAGAAAGAACACACTTTACCTGCGAGAGGACAGAGCCCCGGCGGTGTCTGTTGGCGCACGAAGGACAGAAACTCATACTCCGCCTGCTGCAAGGAAATTTTACTCTCCTTCACAGCCTTAGTAAGGCCAGACTGCAAAAAAAAGAGCCATCCATCAGAAATCAGAAAGACAATGCCATAAAAAGCACTTCCAGAAAGGCTCCACGGCAGAAGGGCTGCCCCCTCTGAGCAGTGTTTGTGCCCTGGGGTGCCCAAAAGTACCTGCTGAGCTCCGTGGTCCGGCATTTGGGGACATCTCCTGCCCGTTCCTCCCCCCAGGATCCCCCCGAGCCTGACCCATGCGCAGGGCACTGCTCGAGAAGTGCAGATCCACACCAGCAAAGGTGATGGTCACACAGTCCCAACGCCACCAACCTCTGATTGTTTTGGTTGTTGTTGTTTTTTTTTGTTTTTCTTTCCCGGTTGCTGTACTTTCTAGGGGCTCTTCTCAATTAGCGAGACATTATGCCAGCCTCGTTATACACCTGTACCTACGCCATCCAGGAGAGTATTACATTTCTCTCTCCTTAAGGAGAAGCCTTCGCCTCCCCACACAGAGCAGGAGGTATAAATAAACAGAAATAATCAGGATCCCAGCTTAAGTGTTTATCAAGATTCCTATAAATCAGAAAAGTTCCTTCTTTCTTTTTTTTTCCCCAATAGTTAAATGTCAAATCTGCTCCAAGTGTTCTCAGTGATTTATTTCCATCTGGCTACGCTATATATTTCCACGACTCTGCCGCAGAAACCTACTTGACAGATCCAAGTGGTGGTTAAAAAATTCATTATGTGGCTGCATTTTCATCTGTATTCTAATTGCTTCTCTTTTCTTAGTCAATTAAAAATAAGTAGCTCCTCAGGAGCAGCGATAACGAATGCCACCATCTTCAATTCACTCGTGAGCCGAAGCCGAGTTGGAGTCCTCGACTGGAGAAGGGGAGAAGCACCCATCACGGTAAATTAATATTCATTTTCCAAACTCTTGCTAATCCTTCCCGGGGAGCGTGAGATGCCGAAGGGGGAGGAGGGGAGGGGTTATGGGTGTCTCAAAACTTCAGCCCTTAATTGAAAACTAACTTGAATTTCAATTGGTAATCAGGGATTGGAAAATCCATTCGCTTTCTCGCTGCTGGCAAGGAGGAAGCTTTCTTTGGTGGCTGAAAGAATGAAAAATAATGGGAAAAATAATCTCTTGCTGCAAAAGTGAGGCTTTTGGTGAAAAAAAATACAGGAGGCTTACAGCCTGGGGAGCTGGGGGGATATGCAGTGCTGGGGAGACAGGTAAAAATGACAATGCCACATTTACAGTACATGAGTCTGTTTAGTTCTCCAAAAATCTGAATTTGCAGGGATAAATTTGCATTTTGCTGGCGCTGGAGTACTCTACTATCCCAAGTTAGGAAAAGCCGGGCTACAAAGTGCAAATGCAGGGTCATCCTGCAGCCGAGCCACAGGATGAGACTAAAGACACAGGAAGCTGTGCCACCGACCACCTGCAGGACCCTGGGCAAACACATCAGCTCCTCGGTACAAAACGAGGGTGATACTTACTGTCTCCCATCCTTTATCTCCTCTGTCTGACCGCAAACTGCTCAGCATGGGAGTTGTCCCTTTTTAGGTGACCGTACTGCAACTAATAACTCTGAATTATACCTCACGCTCATCCTTGCAAACAGAGAGAGGAACCGCAGCGTGACTGCTCTAGCAGGGTTACCTTCCCGTGGTGCTCCTTGCACCACTCGGACATGCTCTCCAGCAGCTCGTCGGGCTGATTAATGATCAGGTTGGGACCCTGGCGGGAAGAGAAAGACACAGAAGTCACCAGAAGCAGCTCTGGAGCCGGCTGTCACTCCCCTGGCTCCAGCCTGAAGACGCAGCGTGGCCGTGGCAGTGGCCCAGCTCGGTGGCTGGAGAAGCAGCTGTTGGGACAGTGTGAGGCGGCCACTCCACCAACCCAAGGTAAGGTGTGTGTCCCCAGGGTCCCCTCCGGCCCCCGAGCACCCGGGCTGGAGCAGCAGGAGCCAAAATGGCCAGAGCAGTGGCCATCCCGGGCAGCCGGGCCTGGAGCCCGGCGGTGACGGCCCCTGGGCACAGAATCCCCCCCCGCAGGGGGCCCGGGGACCGCGGGGATAGGGCCCGGCGGCGGCTGCTCACCTCTGCCAGGACGTTGAGGTCGGAGTCGGTGATGAGACAGGCCATCTCCAGGATCTGGTCCTTCTCCACGTCCAGGCCCGTCATCTGCCACACAGGGAGCGGCACCGTCAGCGCGGCCGCGGGCCGCCCCCTGCTCCCTCCCTCCCTCCCCTCCCGGCC